TCCCCACCCGGGGCACGGGCCTGGGGCAGCCCCGGCCACGGGCAGGGAAACGTCTTTGGCTCTAGGTGTTTGGGCGTTGAAGGTAAAGCGGGGAGGCCGGTCTGCAGGAGCGGTGCTGCCCTCAGACGATCGCAGTCTGGAGAAAACAAGCTTAGCTTATTAGATTAACCACTTTACTTTCCATTTAGGTTTTAAATTACGTAAGACTTACCCTGACTCTAGGTGTTAGGTTTCAGGCACAGTTAAAACACTCGGAACAAATACTGTGGTTTTTTACATGCGCATAGCAAGAACACTGAGCAAGGCCTGGGTGCTGTAACACCGAGTCTCCAGCCCTGCCCTTCCCAGAAAATACAGCCATGGTTTATGAAATTTGCAAAAAAAGACACACCAAGCCAAAACTCAGTTAAAGCCACCGCTTAGACCAAGCCCCCTCAAAAGTGAAGTGCCTAGACCAAGATTTGCAGCCTGCTAGGGGGAGTTAGTTGAGGACCACACATTTTAATAGGGGGAACAGACTCTCCCTGTGCCAGTTTAGAAAGACTGGGGGGGAGGAAAGGTTTTGATCTATGTCATGGTGCAATTTTCAATAGAGAGCTTTTTTCTACTGAGCTTTCACATTAAAGTTTAAGAAACACTGTAAGGCAGGAGCTTTTTTTCCTTCTACTCCAACAGCTTTTGGCCCCCAGGGTTCTTGGCTTGTGAACAGCACTTTTTGCAATGCTAATAGAAGTTAATGTGAAGGGCCATGAAGAAAGGAGGATGCAGAAGAGAAATAGAAGAATTCACCATCTTTTTCCCCTCGCCCCCAGTACGTCTTTGAAGCCCTTCTTAGCACAGAAGAAAGGAGTAAAGAAGCAGTCCAAATCACGTATGAGGCATATGCAGCAGATGTAATGCCTATAAATAAAGTGCAAGTGCTCTCACTGTAGACACCCATTTGCAAATAGCTCCCACATTCTTTTCCAAGCTGCTACTCCCAACTTACCCCCCACTTAACATGAATCATTGCCAGGCCCACCTATGGCTCAAATCAATACACAATGTTTCTCCTTTATCCCTTCCAACCTTCCCTTCTGCTTTACCCTCATTAGTGCTAGATGCTTCGGCTGTAGTATTTACTGTGCCTGATAAAGTAAGTCCAACTTGAGAAACAAGAGACTGAAGCAGATGCCTCAGAACAAGGGCTTCTGTGAAAGTAGGAATTGCTCTCAAAGAAGTCCTCTGGGCACATGCTTTAAATTCACAGAGAGCAGAACAGTCTTATGAGTTGAAGCAAAAGTAGTACATCACTATCATAAAAACAGTGCATTAGTTTTAAAGTCAGAATTGCAGGCAATCACTGGTAAAGTAAGAGAAACATTTGTTCCTTCTGCATTTATGCATTTGCTCTGCTTGTATGCATGCAAGAGAGCGAGTGTCTACCATTGGGCATCAAGTATGGTTAATGGCATCAGTTCCAGAAGGGCAAGCTAGAAAATGCAGGAAGCAAGAAAGTTAAGCCAAATGCATTGGACAGTTAAAGGGATTCCACAAAATAGTGACCTCCTGTAAACAGCCTACAGTGTGTCACGGACGAGAGAGAGGAAAGCAGACAGCAAGCCTTTGGGCACAAGCGAGTCTCTGCACTAAGGTATGCACATACGTTTGTTAACCTGGAAGTGACCAAGCATGCTCAGCACCGATGGACTTCTTGGAAAGTGTTATTTGTAAAACTGGCAAATCCAGGCAGCTGAAAAAATTCATTTAGTGGCTTACAACTTGAACAGAAGACAATGTTAGGTTTCTGTTGTTTTCATGGAGCACTAGGTGCTCATCTGTAACACACTTTCTGGCAGAGAAGTTTTAACTGTTGTTATTTTTATAGACCACATTAGCTGCCAATATGAAATACCTTATCTCTATCTGGTGTCAAGTCCCGCGCTAAGATTTGTTAACTGCTCGATTACATAAGAGAAGCTGTACCTGACGACAGAACCCAGTCTTACCCCAACATTAGCTCAGTAGATTGGCAGCTGACCCAGACAAGGCATGGTAGTGGTTTTGGTTGTTTTCAAGTCATGATGCAGATGTCCTTAGCAAGTGGATGGAGGACCGCAAGTAAACAGGAAAGTAAGACAGACAGACAGATCTGGTTTAACAGACTCCAGTTACTATTTATCAATTATTTTCTCTATAGATCTGTTCAATAAAACAAACTATACTTTGCATAATAGATTACTTCATTGCAGGTATTGCACAGGCTATATTCATCTGGGCACTATGGAAACAAGATAGCAGGAGGTTACTGTCTTTTTTTTTTTAAATATATCATTTAGCACAATTAGACCCAGCACAAGAGAATACTAACCATTTAAAATGGGTAATCTCATTTAAATATCCACAGCCATCTCATTTCAGCTCTACTGATTAGAGAATCCAGAGTATTAGTACTGGACAGGGCGTAAGGAAAGCCTCCTCTCTGCAACACACTCCCCTTGGCTACTGGCCTCCAAAGGCATTCAGCGGGTCATCAAATGTGCTCAGTGTCTTGCTTTCAGATTTTGCTTCTGAAGCTGCTTGGGAAGATCTGCTTTTGGGAGTGGGTATCTTGACTTGGCTGCTAGAGAAGTTATCATCTAAAGGGGGGGAAAAAAAAAACAAACAACCACAGATAGATTTTCATGTGAAGTGACCGCCAAACAGAAGTAACATGTACATAAGAGTCTCCAGCACACAGCAGTGACTGCCAAGGACATTCTGTGATAATCAAATGCTTTCCTGCTGCTTGCGATTCTAGATGCATTTATAAGGACATACGTGGGAGCTGTTAGCTGTAAGTCAAATTAAGAATATTTTTTCTTCTCACTACAGCAGAATAATATTTGTATTTTATAACATGTTCAAGCTCTCATAAGCATTTGAGAAGTACTAATAAATCAAACCTCCACAATGAATTCCATCTTGCAAGTGCCAGATAACATCCCTCTTATCTAGAACATTAGCGTCTGAGGAACCTGAGAGATCCAAGAGCTGTAAGATTGTTGCCAAAGAAAATCAGAAGAGGAAAAGATGGTACTTGCTAGCGACTACTGTTGCGACATCCAGGAGCCATACAAGAGTCTTTAATCTACAGCACAGTAAGAACACAGCATAAATCACTTGAGAACAGAGCACAGTTAAGATGCAAGGAGGCAGACAGCTACAGCTGCCATCCTGCTTAATCTTCAAAAAGTCTGTCTACAGTCCTGAATCAAAATCTCCCACCACCTTTTCCTCAATACAAGCATTTCTGTTACAAACAACCAGGACCACAAAGTGGAAAAATATCATGTTGTTATTAAGACAGAGCTCTCTCCTGAAGGATAGCAACAGATGGAAATGAAACCCTCCAACCTGGATACCCTGTGTCAGCAGCAGAGCTCACAGACCTGCAGTTCATGCTGTGGCTAGTGCTGCTCGTGTTTAGGACTGTGCTCACGGAAAGAGATGGAGCTGCTACCATACACATGCTGAAGTGTTGCCCTGGGCACACACAACAGTGGATCTCTTCCTATACACGAAGGTTTTAAGTTTAGGATACTCAGATTATGCAGTTAGATTATGAGGGGGTAAAAAAAATTTACAAGACTGAGATACGTGGATCACTAGTGATTCACAAAGTCAGTATAAGTAGCACATAACTGGTCTTGAATCCCTATTAAGAAAACACAGGTCTTATACAGATAGCCATTTACTGGTCCAGAGTATAAAAACTAGTATTTCAGCCTTCAGCATGTATCCTAACCTCAGGAGGAGAGGCCAAGCACGGAGTGGCCTATCACAACGTGCTTGCCTTTCTCTTCTCACTCTTTCTTCCACTCCAGCATGTGTCTGCTACTGTGCTGATCATAGGGATTACACGGGAATAATCCAGGACAGCATTTCAGCACAAGAACATTTTAGAAAGGCGGTAAAACAGAGTAATCCCCTACTGGCATCATTCGAAAGCAAGAAGCTATCACATGGATTAGCTTCACAGCAGAGGGGAAGTACAGTGAGTGCCATCAGCCGTAGAAGTATCACTCCAGTTTTATGACAAGCCTTAAGGAGTAGAAAAGTTTTGGCCATGGAAAACAGTATTTGTCAATGCACAAGAAAGGTCAGTCACCAACTGGCAGACTCTCTGAGACAGGCAGAGGTGACATCAAGATGTTTGTGACATCAGCCATAAGGTCACTGAGGAGGCTAGAAGGATAAAGACCTGAGAAAGTTTTTCTTAATACTGCCACCACAAGCCTAACACAAATGTAGTGACTAGAAGCTGTGGCAGGACAAAGAAGGAAAGCAGCTCGCAGCCTCCACCCCCTCAAACTGCACCCACTGTTTTATTTGCAGCACAAAGGATCTCGGAAGGCAACAATACACAGCCCTGATAAAGTGCTACCATGATCACTTAAGCCAACCCTTAACCTGAAGCATAGGCAAGCGCCAGTTCTACCACTCTACTGCCAGCAGGGCATCCCCACCTTCAGGCATCCTCCCTACTCTCCTGTCGGTGTTCTGGAGCTCCATAGCTTTGGGCACAAAGTAGCTGCATACCTATGGCTGCACCACAAAACAGTCAACACTCTAGAGGAAGATGAAGTCTATCAGATACAGGGTGCTGTAGATGCTATAGGTATCGAGATCAGATGTGACATCAAACAACAAGCTCTAGCACCAGAGAAGATGTCAAAAGTGGAAGTGCAAACAACAGGTTCTGTTGTGGCTAATTTTCCAAGGTACTTTCAAGTGGCACTCTACAACTGTTTTTTTCAACATGAGGCTCAGATTTTTGTGCTGAAGTATTTGGAAGGGGTAGCTGTTTGGGAAATTCTTTCATTTGCTATTAGGCTACATGAAAAAACGTAAATAATTAAGAGAAGATATTTTAATCATTCAATACATATTTCAAATACCTTGCCCGTAAACATTTAAGTCTTATTTTTTATATCAATTGGGAAGGTTTTGAAATCTCAAGATGTTCATTCTCTGACAAGTTTTCTAACACATTTACAGACTTTAGCCAGGTCATTCCATCAGGCTGGAATGCTTAACAGCAGTCCAAGCAAAACAGTGGTGCATCAGATTCAATTTGAATAGGTTAGAAAGAATGAAGACTGACAAGAACCAAAGCTAGAGGACAAGGGAATTTTTTTGTCTTAGAGGAAAAGAAATACATGCAATCCCAAAGAAGAGCTATAAACATGAAGAGCCTGAGAACAAACAGACACAGTCGGGGATCAAATTACTTTCGATACCTCCACTGACGGAGAACAAGAAAGCAGCATGCTTTGCGTCATTTCACATTACTGTATGCTGCTTTTTCAACAAATCATACAGGGCAAACTTTTGCTCTCAGGTGTAGTATTTGTAAATTGTTCTGGGTATACATGGATGTAAACAAAATCTTATGGACTCCAAGGTAGTCAACACAATAGTGAAGGTGGGGTGGGAAGAGATGCCAATTTCTTCATATCAGTGATTCATCTGAAAGTACGATACAAAAAGCTGTGCAAATTGAAACAGAGAATGTATCTCAGAGCCATAACAACATGAGATTAGTCTCTTAACTCCAGACAACAGAAATTTTCTAATTCCCACAGGTGAGAAAATCCCTACAAGAATTAAACTATTCCTTCTCTCAGAAGAATTTTATACATTCTCCTAAACCATTTAAGTGCTGTGCTAGTTCTACAAATCTAGGAAGTTCTCATCCAACGTTAAAATCCAAAGGTGACCAGAGTTTTCACAGCAGTTGAAAATTTAAAAGAAAGCAAAGGGTTCTAAAACATCTCCAATGAATGCAACTCAGGACAATATTATGAGATTAGCAGCAAGACACTAGACACTTACCCATATCATCATCAAATATGGATTTTTGTTCCACCTTTTTCTTGGTCTTCTTCTCTTTTGGTTTTACGGTGAGATCCGCAAAAATATCAATGTTATCGTCAAACAGGTTAGTTTCTGGTATTTTCTCTTTTGCTTTGTTCATTGGTTTAATTGCCTCAGTAGCAAATATATCATCCTTGGAGCAAAGCATAGAGAGATCATCAATACACAACACACTTCAAGGGAATAGTCAAATTATCTGTACACAGCAGCCGAGATGTTTAGAAGACTGACAGCCTTGGGCTTCTCAAACCCAAGAAGTTTGAGTCCCTTCTCCCCACGGAGGGCTCGGCAAAAGTGCCTTAGTGTGGGATTGTGCACAGGTCAAGTACAGCACACAGAGGCTTCTATCAGCTGCCCAGCCCGCCAACTTTATTCCTTTTTTAAAAGGGTTATTTGAGCCGCTGTGCGTTGAATAGACAGCTAAAGATAAGAACCAAACGCTTTATTACTCTGAAAAAGGTCATAATCATAGGTATGTTGTCACAGCACATTCAGTGACATGCCCGCTCTGTGTTAAGGCTCCACCTTTTAGTCCACTCTTGCTAATAAGGGGGTGAACATCCAAAGAAAGGGTTTCTATTGCCCAGTAGCAGAACATGACTGACAGTTTACTTCACTACCGATCCTGCACACCCCATCCTACTCAGCAGCATCCATTAAGCTTGTGTCTAAATAGAGGGGTCTGCATAAGGTCCTGGGGATCAAAAAGGCCAAGGTAGCATGCTCAATTATTACCTCAAAGATATCTTGGGCAGTAGGGTCAACAGCTTGCCGGACGGCAGATTTCAACTCCTTTTTTCCAGTTTTCTGACAGGTGAAGAGAGAGTCTTCCTCTTCCTCCAAGAAAGGTATAGGGCTGCTTTTTGTTGAAGATTTTTGCTGTACAGGCTGGAAGAGATCATTGCTGTCTTGATCACCCAGAACAGACAGATCAGGCTTCTTCTCCCTGCCCTTGATGGGTTTGTTAGCCGCACTGTCTGGCATTCCCTCCTTTAACTTTGATTGTGCAGCTGGTCTGGATGTTGAGCTGGTTGCAAACAGGTCTTCTGATTCAAACAGATCATCCCCTTGGTCTGTGGATTCTGGAGGAAGGAGTTTGTTTGTCCCAGCAGACAAAACGCTGCCATGAGCTGGTAGTGACAAGCCAGAGAGGAAGCCGTTTTCCTTGGACTCTGCTTCAATAGCAAGAGGTTCCTTTATGTTCACTGTTGCTGACGTCTGTTTTGGTAGAGAGAATTGTGATTCTTTAGCACTGTCCACCTCCTCACTCTCTTCAGACTCTTGGGCAGCTAGACGGCGGGCCATTCTGCTAGGTGGTCTTCGTTTTCCTGTAACCTTGATCCTGGTCTGCAAGAAAGGAGTAAAAGCAGAGCAGGGTTATATAGAAGGAAAAAAACCCCACACTTCACAGAAGACAGGTTAGGATTCCTGTTATGTTTCCTTGTAGCACTTTGTCCGCCTTCACATCACTGCAATTAACATGCATTATCCATTTCATACTAGCACACTGAAACTGAATTAACTACAAGTTCTGCTCACAGCTCTGTTTTAAGTAACTTAAACAGCTACATGTACATTTAAACAAATGCTCAGTTGAAAATCTTGAGCAAGGAATGCTGAGCAGACACTGATTTAGGTTGTTTAGGAGAAGCAGCAGGAACCATGCATCATCCATTCTCCAGAAAGGGTAAAGATGGACAAGTGAGACATTCAAGCTTGGCATAGTTTGCAGCAAGGTTCAGAAAAATAACCCAGGACTTTTGATTTGTTGCCCTCTGGTCATTCCACAGCAGGTGGAATTGGGGTACAAAAGCAACAGCACTCGCAAGTAGAGAGTCACAACACAGGTCAGCAAGCCACTCTAGCCCCTTGGCTTTAGGTAATACCTTAGTCAGTCTGACAGCTTGCTAATCCAGAGGCTTCTGCGGTACAGTTAGTCTGTCCAAGTCATGACTAATTACATTTTCCATTTAATTTCATTTTATGCAGAGCCTGCTGCAGTTCATTCCTCTGCTGCTTTTAAAAAAGCCCCCCTGCAAGTTTCCATTATAGCTGGTACCATATCCCACATGGACAGGAGTATTCACACAGGTGGGAAACAGATCAGTACAACCTCTTCCCTTTTGTTAATTGCTGTGTTGGAGTAGAAGGACAATCTGGATAGATATGCTATAACAAGCTTAAAGAAGCCATGTGCTTTTGTCAGAATCATTGTAGAAGCATATCTGCCTTCAGAGCGTGGGGCTGTATTTATCAGAGCATGGCTGAAAAACAGGAAAATCATGATGGAAGGGTGATGCACTTGAAATAAACTGATCCCTGCTCCATGCACTGTTCTTTGAAAGGACAGACAGAATGCTGGGTAGGTTGCTTTGTTCCAGCCTTTAGAAAAAAGTGCATTTGGCTGCATATATTTACAACTTAAACTCAAACTTGAAAGGTTCAAGAAGCAATGACATGCCAAAATTAAAACATGTAACCTGAACCACAAAAAACATTCACTGTATAGTTACTGAGATGCTTCTTCTCAGATTATGTCTGTAAACAAACATGCATCATTGCTATGCTAAAGTGAACATTCAAGGTTGACCATACGCAGCTAAAGGAGCTCTATTCTTTTGCAAGCCTATCTGTTTAAAAGTATCATGATAGAGGGTTTTGTCTCTTGTGCAGGACATGCTGCTATTGGAAACAACTATGCCTACATGGTAATGCATTAGTCTGATGTACAAGCTTTAAACCCATTTGACACTTAAGGGGTCATGTCACCCACTGTTGGTGACAGCTGCTGCATCTTCCCAAGTCATCTCTGCTGCTCATCTAGCAATGAACAGCCTCAGCAGCATTAAACAAAGAAAGAATCAAAGTTAACACTTTTTTGTTTTGGTTTTGTGTGGGTTTTTTCTTTAAAAACAAAGTTTTTGTTTGAAAAAGAATTGGGAGTGTCAGTTCAGGACAACATGACATTTTTATCCACAGAGGAGGTAAAGGTCAACATACAGCAGTGATGTGTTCCTAATATCTTGCCACAGCAGCTGTCCATAACGTATTTTATAGTTAGCCTGGAGAGATGCCTTTTTTATGGTTTTCAGGTTGGTGTCTCCTGGGACAGGACAAGATGTTATGCTAAAATACCTTTAACCTATAGGGAAAACCACTGTATTTGGGGAACGTACACGTGTACCTTAAAAAGACACAGAATTAGGCATATGCATAAGTCCCTTACAGAGCTAAGAATGTGATAGGCTTGACTTTCTCTTCAGCGGTCCACAGAAGTGAGAGGGGGATTAGATTTCCACACATCCATTTAGATTCAAATAGACCATACTGTTAGCAGAACTTGCATACTGAACCACAAATTCCTGCACAAGGACAGACTGCGTTTTTAATCCCTCCTTCTATCCTCCTAAATACCAAGGTTACCTTATTGGCGCTGTGCAAGGTATCCGCTTGCATAGGCTGATCAAAGCTTACACCTAGTTCTTCATTGTTTCCTGCAGCAGAGAAGGCTTCGCTGTTCTGTAAATCCTTGGGCTCATGCAATGGAGTGTCCAGAACTGGTAAGGGGGACTTTACATTGGAGACCTTAGGCATTGCACCAGGTAATAAGGCTGCAGGGTTAATAGCTAAGTTAGCCTACAAAACAGAGAAAACAAAAACATACACACAAAAAGAGATCATGTTAATACTGCTCAAGAGCAAGCATGGCTCCAGAGAAGCAGCAAGAACTAGCGTATATAGGCATTCAAGTTCTACTTCTACAAGTGCCTGGCCTTTCTCACACCTACGCGCTTCTGTGTCTCCCACGTCCTCTGCCTCACTAAGCCTGTGGAGTGCTCAACACTATTATCCTGTATGAGAGCTTCAGGAACAGCATAGCCACATTATGTCAGACGAAATACCTATGTAGCTCAGTATCCTGTCTGAGGACAACAATGGTTCTGACGTTAAGAGTGATGCTGTGATATAGACAGTTATTAGTCATCTCACGTCAGAAGAGGGACATAACCAAACCCCCAAATCCCTAAGAGTCTCTGAACATACCCCTAAGAGCCTCTGAACATACTTGAAATAGTGCTGAGAAGAATAGCAGGTCAAAGAGGAGCCCACCCCCTGCCCCCCAAATAGAGTAAATAGTGCTGCTCAGAGTCAGGTCTGAAATGGGAGGGGGAAATAATATTAAACATGCAACACAGAAAAAGTAATAGAAAATACTCCATCTGAAAAATTGCAAGGGTAAGGTAAGGAAGTAAAAAGATTTTGTTTCAGGGGGAGCCATCAGTGAGGCAAGAAAGATTTTTTTTTCTTTGAAAGTCAAAATGCCAGTAAAGTTAATTACTTGTAGCTTTCCAATCCGAGATGAGGGCTCTTTGGTTTTAATGGGAACAGGACCTGTAGATTTCTGCACAAAATTACATTGGATTAAACAAGTGGACAGGTTTTTATCAACCAGACTATAGTTTGCATTTTAATACATCTATAGAAAGCAGCCCACTGCTTACAAATTCCTTCTGAAGATACCTTGTTATCGTCACATTCTACCACCAGAGCTACAGTCACTCAATTTTCAGCTTCAGTTCCCCACATGCCATAGCCCCATCTTCATTATCACATTTCATTCCACCCTCCTTCTACCTAATATTATACTTTGCCGTAGTAACTCAACAACTTCCATCTTCTCCAGGTGGACACACCACCAGTCAAATCAAACTGTGACAGCTACTCTCCCTCCTCGCTTATTCCCTCCTCTAAGACCCTCCGATGCCATGTTGCCAGACCATGATATAACTAACTTTTCTCTTTGTGACTGGCTATAATAGGGCCACAGACTTCAATGAAGCCCACACTTGCTTTTGTAGCCAAGAGGGTTACAAAATTGTACCTCTCAGTCTGCAAGGAAAACAGCTTCAGAGAAGTGAGTGCTCCTCTATAGAAAGCAGGCCATCAGTGCCAGAAATAAGGCTAGGCTAAAAGAGCAAGAACGGCTGTCTGGTCTGAAGACTTGGGTCAATTCTAGGATTCAGGGATGAACCACATCGGCTGAGGTGCTCTTCCCAGGCCTTGCTCTCCACAAGTTTGTAGTCTACCATGGTTCTGTGAGCTAGGCTGTACTACTGTTGGTGTGACTGGGCAGTCAGAGCTCCTTCAGCCAGGTTGAAGTAACTGAGGTTTTGCAAGGGTTAGGACACTGGTTTGGGGGTCTTGATAGCATGACAGAGGAATCCCAGCATCCGAGGAGATCATTCTCCACTTAAATGCATGTGGTGTTCAGCTGAACCTCAGACAGGCTGAGATCATTCCTATACCCAGCTGTCAGTAGCTACAAAAAAGGGAAGATGAGCGTGATTCTACACTTCAAGGAATACTTCACCATAAGGGAAGACAGGCTAATTACTAGCCTTACAGACTTGCTCTGCATTCCTCAGCCCAGGGGAGAAAAAACAGCACACACACCCCCCCCAGTGAAAAGCCTCCTACAGATGGAAATCCAACAAGCAGCTCTGCTGAGGCACAAGCCTGAATTCAGATCCAGACTGCCTCTCCCAGAGACCCCTGGTTGTGCAAGATTAAGGACAGGAGTAGGAGTCTTGTTTGCTCATCGTAAAGTCTCTAAGATAAGATTCTCAACAGCCAGAGATTTGTGCTGCATGCCCTGATCTCCCTTCTGAGAAAGCCCACGTATACTTTAGAGATCACATTCACTCCAACAGACACTGGCACTTCAGAGAAGAATGAACAACAACCCATTTTCAGTCCAACTGGACCTGAGGTGTAGGTCTTCACTGCCTTGTACTTGGCCTGTATAAGTGTGTGGGCAATGAATAGAACACTATCAATAGCATTTAAACTTCTTGGTAGTAACAGTGCACCCGCTGATAAGCGGAGACAAGTTTGGCCATGCATTGCTGCTTTGCAGCCAGTGAATCCAGGCATTAGTTTTGATCTTTTCACGAGACTTATTTAAAACAAAACGATACATCTCCTTTTTCTTTGCATGCTGTTCAAGGCAAAAGATTTAGGTACTTGCCTCTGTAGTTACTGCCTTCAGAGCTTCATCTTGTTTAGCACTTAAAACATTTTCTAGAAGGTTACTGCTCTCCAAGGAAGGGCCAGTACTGGCCTTAAGTGTTTTCTTCTCGGCTATTTTCTGAAAGCATTAAGAACACAAGTCAACATGAATCAGGTAAAAAGCATGGTCTGCAGATAAAAAAACAAAAACAAAAAACAAGCAAAGCTTTTTAAAATCTTGCTTCTATCTCAAAAGAAAACTAGCCACATCTTTTGACTCTGCAGTGCATCATAGGCATTGCCTTTTGGGTCTGCAATGACAAGGGCCTTCCACTCCTCCATTCCTTTAGCCTACCTCAGCCTTTGCTGTCTATGCTAACGATAAATAATGAGAGTTTCAACAACCTTCCAAATGCATACATATTTCCTCATGCACAGGACAGCAGGGAAAATAAAAGCACAAAGCTAGCTAAGGAACGCTGCTATTTTTGTATTTTCAAGCAAACAGGCTCCATATATAGCTGCCAAGTGCTAATTACTTAAGATCATCTCTTCCACAGTCCTCAAAGAAACTGTTTCCAGGAACTATTGCCAGTTTTCTAGCCTAACTTCCAGCTATAGACATGAAAATAGACTAAAGTAAAAGTTGGCTTCAATTTAATTAAACTAAATACATTTAGAGTAGCAGTTTGGAATGCATGTTAGGACTTTGACCTCAGACCACCTATAATGCAGTCTAGTTCAATGCTGCAGCTGCTCACCCTCTGAAAACAATCCAGTGATCACAAGGATTTTAATATCACATTCATTACCTTAAATCAACCCAACCTGCAGAGACTTTAATTACATAAGTCAGAGCAAGGCTCATCAGCCATGCATGAACTACAGGGAAGTAATATTAGCAAGTTAAACAATTGTCCTGGTTTTGGCAGGGATAGAGTTAATTTCCTTCCTAGTAGCTGGTACAGTGCTGTGGTTTGGATTTAGTAGGAGAACAATGTTGATAACACACCGGTGTTTCAGTTGTTGCTAGGTAGTGCTTACACTAGCCAAGGACTTTTCAGCTTCCCATGCTCTACCGACTGAGAAGGCTGGAGGTGCACAAGGAGCTGAGAGGGGGCACAGCCAGGACAGCTGCCCCCAACTGGCCAAAGGGACATTCCATACCATGGGACGTCGTGCTCAGTACATAAACTGGGGAAAGCTGGCCGGGGGGGGCCGCTGCTTGGGGACTGGCTGGGCATCGGTGGGTGGGTGGTGAGCAGTTGCATTTTGCATCTCTTTCTTTGTATATTATTATTATTTTATTTCAATTATTAAACTGTTATCTCAACCCATGAGTTTTTCTCGCTTCTACTTTTCCAATTCTCTCCCCCATCCCACCAGGGGAGAGGGGGAGTGAGCGAGCGGCTGTGTGGTGCTCAGTTGCTGGCTGACTGACTGAGGTTAGGCCACGACAACAATAAAACAATTAAACAATACAAACTCTACTACTCTCATTTCTGCTCAGGTGTGTTCTCTTACACCTAAGCCAGTCCCAGTGGTACACAAAAAGAAAAAAAATCCAATCCTCTCATCCCAGCCTTGGGAAACCTAATGCATCTGTTTGTTCCCTATGTCTCCAGGGTCACAATGGCCACTTCTATTCTCTCAAAAAGATTTGAGAAGTCACTTCACTTCTTGTGGAAATATATATGGAAAAAGTCCCTTCCATACACTTCTTTCCAACGTCTTTTATATAAGCCATTTACAGCAGAGGAACAGATACCGGAAGATTTGTTTTAGCAGTACTGAAGAGATCATCCTCATCGTCATCCCCAAAAAGCCCTCCTCCAGATGATGGCTTCAGGATACGGTTTGCAGACTAAAGAGACAAAGGATGAAGAAAAGATGTGTCACCAATCAAAAGTGCCTCTCCTTTGGCCCATGATGCCTGAACTGATATTAGCACTTGGCCCTCCCTGGAAATCAGTGACTTCTAAGCTGTGTCAGACAAGAAACACCGGTAAGCTGCACACTTCAAAGACTGTTTTTAAATAGCAGGTTCAGAGGAGGACTTTGAACTCACCATCGACTTCTTGGGGCTGGCAAAGAGGTCGACATCTGGATCATTGTCCTTCTGAAGTTTGTGACTGAAGAGGAGCTCTTCGTCTTGAAAGACTCCGGTGCTTTTCGGCCGAGTACTTTTCTCAGAAGCCTGGAAGGAGAGGAGAAAGGTCCACACAGTGAGAAACTCCCTCCTTAAGGAGGTTATTTGCCTAGTGATAAGACAGTTACAATTCACCTGAGGCTACACTATGACCCTGGTAACAAAAATAAAACTTTAACTGCCAGTTATATATTTTACTTTGACCAAATTTGCAAAACTTATAATGTAAATATTTGTATTCACAGTTCAATTTGATGAGAAGATATTAACCAAAATGTATCTGTGTCTGCTGACCTGAGATCCAGCTGCTACTATTTACCTATAAAGCTTCCTTAGAAGGAAGGAGGAGAAGAAAAAAAAAGTTTCAGTATGTTATCATGAGTGTACAGTAAGGTTTATATTTTAGTAAGACTTTTATGCCTTGAATTTTTCAGCTGAGGGCGCAGGACAGAGAAGTGTGCGGAAAAGAATGGGGTTAATTATCTTCCTAAGCTACCTTTTAAAGAAAAGTAAAATAAAAAAAAAAAATTGAAGACCTGTAAAGCTGTTATTGTTGCCAGATTCCCTGTTATCCTTCCATTAAAGCAAACACAGCCCCACAATGAAGAACAGAACATATTATCTGCCTTTGGCAAGAGCTTGTACTTTCAAATTTGCTGGTTGTGTGGAAGGTTGACAGTGAAATGTTATCACCTTATCATCCCTCCGCTATCTGGCAAACCAACCAGTATCAGCTGCCTGGACACCAAAACCAATGCCTTTCTATGATCGTGGTCACTGTACGCACCCAGGTCTGACTTTCAAAAGGCAAAGGCCCCACTGAACGTGTAGGTAAAAGCCAGTATCTATGTTTCACCACCCAGCTGTCTCTTCAGGACCTACACAAATGAAAGTGTGCCTCTTCAGAGCATGACTGAATGTCCAGTAGCATAACATCAGACTCAAAATCTGAGTCGCAGCAGGAGCGGTAGTCATAAGAATAAAGCCCGATTCTCCCCTTCCCAGTCCAAGTCTCCAGGAGCCCCAAAGGGCTGCCTACTAAAGCTAGTTTCCAGTACACCATTTTTGGTCCGTACACCCCGTCTTATGATTTTTATTACTGCTCCATTCTCAGCCTCTCTGTGCACCAGCTTTAATTTTATATCAAAAGCCAGGTCGCATTTCTAGAGCACTAGAACTGCTGTTTATGCCCAGATACACAAAAACCTAATGCACGTCTACTAGTATCGACACATGAAATGTATATTAAGCTGAGATAAGCAAGGAAAATAGTAGCACCTTTCAGATTTGCCTATGAAAAAGATTAAGTTCCTGAATTACCTATTCTGATTTTTGCATGAATATGCATTTCAGCACCTTAATCACTTCGTGACTATTATGTGCTGGCAGCTCAGTGCTTTGAAGGAAAGATTTGGAAGGATTGGTATCTTCCTAAATTCATAGGACAGATGTGGCTTCTTGCAACCATCTCACAAAGGCTTCAAATTCTACGTCCTTCTACTTCCTAGTACCTCTGACCTTGAGGGGTAACTGGGGAATCACTTCTGTACAGCAGACATCAAGTAGCTGCACCAAAACATCTGTACAGAATTTCTTTTCATACTAGCATGCAGCCAAATGCTTTTGAGTTAGTGGGATGGAAAAATTTACAAAGGAATTCAGGATCATGGGGAACAGCAGTACCCAAGAATCTGGAAGTTTAGAAATAGAGAAAGATTAGCCTCCATGATATGAAGAGAGGGAAGGGTAAAAACAAAACCTTGGCTAGAATTGTAGAGGTAGAAAGGTAGAAATACTATTTCCTAGTTCAAGAAGTTCCCTAGACTCACCACACCAATTTCTTTCTGTGCATTTTTAATGCCATCATCATCATCCAGTCTCTCCTCTTCCTCCTCCTCAAACAAGCTTAACACTTTCTTAGTTTGGGTCTTGACATCTTTCTCCAGAGCTGGTGGTGATGTTGCAAACAGATCTGAACTGCTGGCTGGCTCTGAGGATGCTGCTGCAAAAGGCTCCACCAAAAAAAAAAAAAAATTAAATAAATTAACACATCAGCCTGTTATTTAGTTCAGGTTTGCCCCAAAATCCACTAAGCTTTCTTGGTTAAATGCCAGCAGTGGTCAGAGTTCTGCAATCCATTACCAAGCAGTCAACTATATTCAACTCATAGCAACATGCAGATCAGCAAGAGACAGTAGATAAAGAAGAGAACACGCTTTATGGCTCTAAAGGGAACACAAGTTTCCTCCTGTACCCTACACTCTAGTGCTGTTGATAAGCAGCTTCCTGCATAAGGTTTCCTTCTCATCCATATGTCAGGTTGCATGTGTGCCACAAGGCTGCGTTAAGCAGCTTTGCCATTATCTCTGAGGTACCTAGTTCATGCAACTTGGGATTCTTTGGAGTGGGCAGCACTACCTGAACCTTGAATGTGCCCAGGAAAGTGTAAAGCATGATAACTACTCTGGAAATTCATCAGCTGGTAATTCCCCAACAATCACTCAGTAAGACCATGCCCAAGATTAAGTTCTGCTGAAGCTTCTTCAATAATACGTTCAATAATACACATCAATACTGTTCTGTAACAGCGCTGCCCAGGAGAAATTCACAATGCTGAAAGCCACAGCTACCAACACCATTTAAAACTCAGACTGTGTTGAAACAAAGTTACTGAGCTTGAAGCAAAGCTTACACATTAGTATAGGCTATCTTTTAAAGGAAAGCTCTGTTATGTGAATAAAGACTACCCAACTCACTCTGGAGGAAAACCAAAAGATTCCTCCCCCCGCCCCCCCAAAAAAATCCAAACAATTATCTCACGTATGTCAGTTGGGAAACAACTTTTAAATGCCATTTAATCAATTTGCTGTTTGACCGACAAGTGATTTTGCTAAATGGAGACAGAGTTATTCTCTCCTTGGCAATAGAAGAAGAAATCCAGAAAAAGAATTCTGTCCCAGAGCAGTGCTGTTAGATTGTGGTTGTTTTTTTTAAACTCAACCTTTACCAAACTTCAGATTAATGTAAGAAAATCCCTCACTTTTTGCTTTGTTTGCTGCCCTGCAACATCTGTTCCTCTAGGCACAGGAACTGCTCCAGGCTCTTCTAAACACCACAGTCTATCTTCTACCTGGTTAGACTTTCCTGCTCTATCTGGCAGATCTTCCTTTTCCTCCTTTTCTTCTTCATTAAAGAAAGGTGGTGCTTGTGCTGGTTTTACTTTCTCCTGCAAAATTAAAAGAATGTTGTTGACACAAAATTGGTGAGTATATAAGAAGCATACACTGCTGTGGGATAGCAGAGTCTCAGTTCGCCTTCTGCAGGGGTCTAGGACACTGGCAACATGCTTGACTTCTACGTTCCTCCCATGGGACATTCTGGTTTGTGACTTTTGATTTCTAGTATTATAGGCTCTTGAGTCTGGTTGAAGAGTGCCAGGAAGCAGCTGCAAGCTTACAGCGGATGCCCTGGGAATCTTGTCTGGTTGGTGCACAGTTTCCTCTGACTGCCAGGAGCTAGACTGTGGCTTGCCTGTTTCTTCTTCTATTCCCAAACCTATTGTCTTTATGGGCCATGACAACTGTTTTCCTGGTAAGCAGAAAGGCAAGGGGGGGGGCAGGGCAGCACACACACACACGTGCAGGAATTCCCACTACAGGTACAGCTGTGTTAAGCTTTTGCAACTCCTACTCTCAATTCCAAAGCACAACCAGACAGACAGTACACTACGGGCTAAGCTCATAAGACAGAGGATAGCATAAGCACCCTCAACAGAGGGCCAGTGAGAAGCCTGTAGACACATCTGAACCAGCTTGGGTTGAGGTGACACACAGGGTGAAGCCCTAGCTTCAGTCAGCAGTAAGGTATCTGTTCCTTTTAACAGTATTTTATGGCTGAGAGCTCTCAAAACATCCTCAGGAAGGGCTTTTAGCATAAACCAAACAAATTTAGGGTTAGTGGTCAAGAAAATTGTGAAATCTTTATTAGGCTGATGGTAATAAGAAGTTTTACATATAAGAGTTCAGTCTGCCCTGTTCCCATTCCCAATTTGCTAGAACTACCATCGTCTAAAACAAGTTAGACTTACATTCAGTACCTAACAAGGAAGATAGACTATAAAAAGACTAAGTGTTCCATGTTAGTTTTAAAACAAAGGGGAGGTACCACTGGAGCCTTAGCAGCTGAAGGAAGTAGCGTAGATTGGGAGCTGAAGAACGGTTCTCCATTAATAGCATCATCTTCAAACAACAACGATACCTTCTGTGGCTTTCTTTGGCTGCAATGAGAGAAAGGAGAAAGTGGAAGATTCAGTGCAAAAGTTTCAGAGGCTATGCACTGCATCTGTTTAAAAGTATAACTTAGGACCATCATTTGCAGCAAGTGGTCCCAGTGTCTCAACAATTCCACCACCCTCCCTTCTTGTCTGCACAGCTTTCTGCAGAAGTGAAGATAAAAAGAGGTCAAGAGGATTTTATATTGCAGGCAGGGAAATGGAGACCCCAGTTCAGTGGTGGCAAGGAGAATGATACAGAAGAGGTAAAAGCCCAGCCCTGCCCATTCCCACTCACACACCTCTACTTCCTCCTCAGCAGCAGTAGCAAGGGACAACACTTGCAATATGCCTGCGTCTGTCTGGTTTTGAGGGTACTGCTGGACTGTTCTGAAAAAATGCCCTCCCCCCCTGCCCGGACTCTCACCTCTCTTTAGTGATTGCAAATAAATCCTCCTCATCCTCTTCCTCAAAGAGGCTCGTCTTCTTCACAGCTTTAGCCTGACTGACAGTGCTAGCTGGTTTTGCAGGGTCCTCTTTTCGGTCATCTTCAGAAGGAAGTTTAGCTGGCTTGGAGACATTCCAGTGTTCCTTAAAAATAAGGAACGCTTAAGGTTTTTTTTTTTTTGTCTTGGTCAAAGCCACTTTCCCATTTTCTTTATAAGCAGAAACACTTCAGCATCTTGGCAGTCCTTGCATCTCTCTACTAGTTTATTTTCCTGCCTTTGTGTTAGCCGCTGTAATCTGACATTGCTCAGGCTTTGCAGAGGGCCTGGCCACCTTTTGGCATACAGTATTTGCCCAGCAAAATAGGGTGTACACACTTTACTATTATAGTTGCTCTTGACAACTGAGGTCAGTGTCAACTGTAGTCACAGGAGTAAGGTCACCCAGTAAAACCTGATTTGAGCCACTTAAATAATTAGCAAGTTTGATGTATGGGGGGAAAAAAACAAACAAAAAAACCATAGAAAAAACACAACACCCACACCCAAGACACCTCATTACTAGAGTGCATGATGCTGCACTTATTTCCTCAACTTTCAACCACAGTACTTTCCCCCCCCACCTCTGGAGCTAGCATTTAATCAAGCCTACCCAATGAACAAGTCAAAACTCTACATTAGAAGGAAACATTTCTGGGGTTAGGAGAGTTTTCTGGCTCGTGTGTTTTCTTATTCCCAGCATTTCAAATGGTTTGGCCTGTTCCCCACCTCTCTTCGTCCCCTTTCTGAAAGGGACTACACGTATGTTGAGGTATGAACTCGGTTTATTCTACATTAAGAGAAAAATGTATCTAAAGATATTACTAGTATCCACCAAACAAGCAATTACAGGACAGGTAATAAAAACCAAGTCTACACAAAACAGTAATTTTGGGGGCTAAGAAGGCTAAGAACAGTCTGGATCCTATTCATACGAGTTAATTCAGAGACTTTCCACACAAGTTTTTGATTTACTTAGTGTCTCTGGCTTTCACTTAAGATGCAGGACCACACCTAATCCATCCCTAGAAGAGGGCTGCTCTCTGAGAAGCCTAGTCATTTATGTTTCATTTTTCTCATCCCTAGATTTAAAAAAACCCCAACAAACCAATACACCAAGAAAACCCCCAAAAAACCAAAAACAACACACCAAAACCCAAGCAAATGAAAAAAACACCAAACACCACCACACACAAAACCCCCCCACCCCAAAAACCCAAAACAAAGAAAAACTCACCACATATCTATCTAAAACCGCTAAACTTTCCTTACAGAAGTTAAAGCTGTAAGAGCAAACTTATTTTTCCCTTTTAGTATTTTTAAGTCAGATTTGTTGGCAGCAGCCTCCATTTGCTATCGATATTTCTATAAATTACATTGAAAATACTGATTTTCTCTTCCACATGACTTCTGTTACCTAGATCCTGAGATAATTTGAGCCAAGAATCAGACAGCTTCCTCAGCTGCAAACAAGTCAGAGGATTGCGGTAGGCATGGCATGTGGACACAGCAGAGTTTGACTGTGAGCCCTGTCTCAACAGTTTTATGCTTTGGGCAATATAAAGCACAGTAACTCCTTTCAGCCAAATCTTACTCCTCAGTACCTCTTCATCACTGCTGAACAATAAGCTGGAGGCTTTCTTGAGTGGCTCTGACTGTTTTGCTTTCTCTTCCGGGGGTTTTTCCTGTTGCTTCTTGGCAGGTACCACACCAAAGAGATCCTTAAAACAAAATAAAAAAAATATATTAAAAAAAAATCAAAAGCCAAAACCACAATGAAAAGCTCACTGAGAAGTCATCAGCATGCAAGACACTGTTGCCATCCACTTCTCAGGTGAGTAGGATAGAGAAGTAGTGTTTTGTGAACCCTTTTTGAAGACAATTTCAAGCGTGATATGGTATTCTGGTACAGGGAATTCTACGCACATGGCATTTGGTAGACCAGAAACTTGTAAACACACAGCCTAGTTTTGGCCCACAGATTCTGCACCATGAGGCTTGACCAGCAGCCAAAAACCACCACACAGCAATTCTGTGGCACGGCAGCTAACACATTGGGGCACTGTTTCTATATCTGCATAATAAAATAGAGAATGAATCCTATTCTGAGAGGACAGGCAATAGGCAAGCTGAACCATTACCACTGGGCAAGAACCAAGACTTTTCACCTGAAGATGCTCATGCAGATTATTATATAGGCAGCAGAATATACAAAAGCATATGTTGACTTCACCACCTAACACTTATGCTTTTCTCCACTCAACTTGAACTTCAGTTCCATAACACAACTGTCATGGCAGATACCAGAGACCTTACCACATTACAAAATGTTTCACTATCCTGACAGTTGCTTCTGAAGAGCCCCTATTCAGAAAGGTGAGCTGGAAGCAGCCCCCTCTTGAACAGGAAACCTTTATCTTGAGTTTGCAGAAGTCCTCTATCTTATGACTCTGAGCAGGCCTCCTATTTGCCTCACGTTAAGACTATGGGGTAAGTTAACTCACCATGAAGGCTGCAGGCCCAGAGTTGAAAGCTCTTTGGAGGGTGTGTGGGAGGGAGAAGAGGGTAAAAAAAGGTAAGAAAAGCACACACTAATTCAATTTTGTTAAGTTTCTTGCACAAACTGTGCCTTGATCTTAGTTTCTACACTAGCAGCCACAATTCTTACACACTGAAAAGCGAGAAAAAAGGAATTCACCAGCCATGACACAAGAGAAGCAAGAAGTCATCCATGTGGCTAGGTACCACAGGCCAGGATAAAACAGCTTCTTGAAGCTCATATCCGTTCTATTGCTCAGTGTTCTCTAGTCCTATCAATCAGAGGGATAACGTCCTTCATGTTTAGGTCCAGAGGTGATATGCACTGACTGCAAAATACTAAAAAGATACCAAGAACTTGCAAGAGTCCCTGCTACCATTCTCCTCCATAATGTTGTCTACACGCTCAGAACTGCTACACAATGCAAGATCAATTTAGTGCTCTAATTTAGTCCTCCATTTACAAGCTTAGTGTTGTAAATTTCTGAATATTTCCTGCTGCAGTTGCAACAGGCTGTGCAGGAGGGTTCCCATATGCAGGCAGTATCAGGAAGTGGTACTTACCTCTTCATCATCATCAAACAAGGAGAGCGGAGCTTTTGTCATGGACTTACTGGTGGGGAGAGACATAGCTTTGGACTTCACAGTTTTACTTGATGAAAACAAGTCCTATGCAAACCAAAGAAATGTCACTTTGCAAAGCAATGCTATACATTTAAGAACTCTAAATGGGACATTCATGTTTTTCTTTTTTTAAAAAGTGTTTAGTGTGCCTGTGAAGAAGGGAAAGATTGTCTTACTCAGATATACCAATCACCTGCAACTCCATGGGTATTTCCCTCAGCTTTGCAGATTAATTGCTAGCTGGAAGCCGAGGACACAAGATTAAACATATGCAGTCTTTCATGATTCTTGCTCTTGATTTGCTGATCTTTCCCCTCTTCAGGCTTTCAATTTATGCCTGTGCGTACCACACAAGTTTAACTCTCTGAAGATAGGGAAACTGTTCCCAGAGATTCCATTCTTGGAGCAAGAAGGAACTTTCAAGAATGGTTGCGAGTAGATGCATGGATGTCAGAGTTCCCAATCCTACAGATAAATAAGGAGTCCCCAGATACGAGTGGACTGAAGTCAAGATGACTCAGATCCCAAGGATTTCTGTAAGGATTTATTAGAGGTACTCACTTCAGAATCCTCCTCATCAGAGAAGAGGCCCCTCTGTTTTCTTGGAGGCATTTCAGATAAAGGCTTGAAGTCCTCACCTGAAGATGGTTGACTCTTTAGGACAAATAAAGACCCTGCATCAGCACCCATTTAGATTCAGTAAGGGCAGGCACATCATACAACCCTTTCTAAGAGGCATGCTGCTGGCAGCATCCCAGCAGTTGAAGGGACAGAACTTGTCACCCATGGGCTGAAGTCCAAAACTCATGTGCTGAGTGAGCTCCTCACATGCAGCCAGAGCTACGCACGAGTGACTTGCAGGTCTTACCATATGCCTCCCCTCCCACCACCATCCTTCTCAGCAGAAAAATGTATGCAGCAACTCATACCAGGCCCCATCATGAGTTAAATGGAAATGTTTTTTTTAACAAGCTGTGTTTCATAAAGGAAGAGGGCAGTTTGTGCCAGCCATCATTTCCTGCATTAGCACAGCACAGCCCCAGCCTGCCACCAGCTATATTGCCATTAAACTCAGAATCATTCCAGACCCAAGCACTACTGTCAGCAAGTTTGAAGTATAAACCAGCTCTTACTTCCTGACAGAGCAGGA